CATGATTAGTTTTAGCACAAATGCAATATCAAAATAAGGAACAAGTTGACATTTTTATTTTTCTAATTATATTTCAGATTTGATTTTATGCCTTGGATAAAAATTATGTTTTATAAAGCAACTAATAAAGGTATCAAAACACAAATATTTAGTTACATATAAATATTCAGGTAACACAGAATCCAAGTGAATAGATGACCCTTAGAGACCTCAGTAGGAACCTTGATAATTATCATCAAACAGGCCGATAAAGATGCATGCTTTGCGTTCTCTAGAATTCTTTATCAGCAACAGCTTTATTAACAAAACCAAGGGGATGAATATTAAAAAAAAGAAACTCCCCAAAAGAAGTAAGATATACTGGTGCTCAGATGTGCAGTTCGGGCAGAGATCTAATACAAATGACTTCAAAGGTCAGTTGGTCTGAGGACAGTGGATTAGAACATGTTACTGATGATCTGAAACCGTGAAGGCCAGTTCATCTCAGATCTGCCTCCATCTGGGAGGAAATACAGGGAGGTATCTGAGCTGTGAGAAGCACACCAAAGTATAATAATAATAGCAACAACAACACACACTAACTGCTAAGCTAAGCCAAACACAATCAAGCAAATCATTAAGCAAACTTTGATTTTAGAAATTTATATAACTTGGAATCCATGGTATGCAATAATTGCAGGGATTAATACAATAATAGGGAGCATACCAAGCCATACCAACAGTAACCTCAAATAATTTGATACTATTTCAGTTAACTACCTATAGAATTATTAGGAACAGAAGAAGAACATCAAGGTACATCCAATGATAATCATTTTTATGATCTTAGATATGGAGTACCTTTCTGCACATCTTCCCCAGCTTGGTGTCCTGCAACTCTCAGAACTCCCAGCCAGCGTGCTTTATAAATTTTTAACTCATCTGGAAAATACCAAATTAGAGTAAACTGCTTTACACAACAACCAATATAAGGATGGATTAAGAAGAGTCTCAAACGTTATTTGTTACTTCTGACAGAATATCGCAAATAGCATTCAAGAACATTTGGCTACTAAGATATTTTAACTAACTGAGTTTGTCTGCTCTGTTTTATTTGATTCACACACACCCCTCCAGTTTTTTCATGATGTAACTTGAATGCTGTGTAATTTTAAGGTTCTACTTATAAACCATTCTGGCATGCTTAAAAATAAAGGACACTTAAATAAATTTTAATGTGTAAAAAAATATAATTTTTCTACTATATTGTTATACTTGCTCAATAAATTAGATCAGTTTCTTTTATTCTTTGCTATGTGCATTTTACATGCCTATAAACACACATATACTTATATATGAATGAGATGGTTGTTATATTTTTGTTTTAAATTACCCAGATTTTTTTTTCTACATGGGAGAGTTAGGAACTAGTCTGACTAAACTGTCTGGATGTCCAAAGCACATCTTTGGAATTATTTTATATTCATATTTTTTTACAGGAATATATATCCAATTCTTCAACTTTGACATTGTTTCTGTGTCATTCTTGTCAGAACTGATTAACAAAGTAAAGCGTTATCTATCAATTTTTCAATACATCTACAGATTGAAACCTTTAACCCAATCTTTATATTTTAGGCTATGCTATATATTTGTTTACTCAGCAGAATCTTGGACTAGCTAGTGGCTTATGTATTGCCAAACAGAGAAAGAGTATTTTCCCCCCTTAATGACATATCAGCTTATCTATAAAATGTAGATTCTGCTGCTAGGAACACATTCCTATGAAGCTACTCAAAGTTCAGATTGCTCAACTTGTTGTCTGGTGTTATTTCTACAGTCATCTGGCATTCTTTTCCAATTCAAAAAAAAAAAAAGAACAGTATCTCAGGGAAGCCAAGGAAATGGCTTCCTGTTGTGGCTTTCCCTCTGTTCTCCATAACTCCATAACTCTTATGTTAGTCCAAATTTCTTCGGGATGAGCTATGTTTAATTTTATTTTTGTTTTCTATACCATATTTAAATATTATGAAAGAGTACAAATTTGATTTAAATCTAAATGCATGATTTTTTTTTCATTCTTCTAACATAAAAGCAAAAACAGTGTAGAGAAAGGTATCATTCCATTGCAATTAACTTTTCAGGAGTGGTTGAGAGTTTGCACCATCTCTTCCCTCCCTCCCGCCATAATGCCTTAGTCTGAAATCTTATATATTTTCCTTAGGGTAACCCCATTAAGAGAACCAGTTTAGTATAGTGCTTAAGGCATCAGGCTAGAAAGGCACTGGGCTAGAAACCAGGAGACGGTGAGTTTGTCCCACCTGAGGCACAAAGCCAGGTGGGTGACCTTGGGCCAGTCACTTTCTCTCAGCACTAGGAAGCAGGTAATGGCAAGCCACTTCTGAAATCTTGCCAAGAAAACCGCACTGACTCATCCAGGCAGTCACTAGGAGTCCACAATTACTTGAAGGCACCAAATGCCCCCCCCCCACAAAAAAACCCAAAAACCAACCATTAAACACATTTGGGATTTTTTTGAATAATACATACAGGTTTGTATTGTTACATCAACAGCAATATAGCACTCTATAGGAAACAACTATGGACCATGCCAAAGAGCAGGCATATTTAGGGCCTGATGGCCTGTGGATAAAGCACTGAGATGGTCATTTCACTATTTTAATTCTGTATCAGCTTCTAGAAAATGCAGAAACTTTGCCTCTTTATCTCTGACGGCTCTAACTTTCCTAAGGGTCTGGCTTAGAGACAAGAATCTGCCTCTTCATTCCTCCATTTCTGCAGAGCACTGAGAAAGTAACAGGAGGAAGTACAGTAATCCCTTATGTTATGTTAAGCTCAAGGTAATGAGATTCTGACCTAGACAGACAGGGTGTAAAAGATTAAGGCAGAAAGGCATTTCATTCCTTCACAGGTTATATACTTTAATTCATTCATCATTAAAATTCACTGACTTGGTGAATTGGCCAATACTCAAAATAGCTCCTGCCTCCTGCATAGTAGCTTATTAGTTGTCTAGAAAGAAGGAAAGTTCAATACTGTATTTATCTAGTATCTAGACTTCACCTGGTCTTGTGAAACTTAAGAAGAAAAAAAAAAACCCACACCCCTGCTTCAACAATTAACTTTCAGAATAAAATTAATTATGATACTCCCTCATTTTCATTACTTTACATTATATTACATTTCAATCCTAGGGTAGAAGTTACAACATGGAATAAATAACTGAGCAACTGCCATTTTCAGAGGCAAACCTATGGTAAAAAACAGCACTTAAATCAATGAATTAGTTCAATTGCTCCTCACAGAATGAAAGGAGGTGTTTTGGTCACAATCTCTGTCTGCTATTTAAGAATGGTCAACACCTCCATCAAGATGAGTAGGTTCCTCAACCCACAAAACCGTTCTCTTATCTGGGTAAAGTTTCAACTTATTTAAGGCATATTACAATGGCCCTTGATTTTATAGGTGGAAAACAAAGTACAGTGGTACCTCGGATCACGAACGCTTCTGTTCACGACCAATTCGGGTCACGAACAGCACCATTCGCAAAATTTTGCTTCCGTTCGCGAACACTGGATCGGGTGACGAACAGGATCCGCGGCCATTTTCCCTGTCGTGACACGTGGTCGTGGCTTCCTGTAGGGAGGGGGACTCTCCTCCAAGCAATAACCATCTCCCCACCTGCCTTCCTGTCCTCCACGCCAGAAGTCGCGTCGAGCAAAGTTAGCGTTCTCTCTCTTCGTACTGTACTTTGTGTCATATTTTTGTGGTTTTAAAAAAAATAACATATGGTTCAAAACGGATTAACCGTAATTACATTGAACCTTATGGGAAAATTTGATTTGGGTCGCAACCAAAATCGGTTGGCGACCAAATTTGGAGGGGTCAGAACGGATTAACTATATTTACATTGAACCTTATGGGAAAATTTGATTTGGGTCGCAACCAAAATCGGTTGGCGACCAAATTTGGAGGGGTCAGAACGGATTAACTATATTTACATTGAACCTTATGGGAAAATTTGATTTGGGTCGCAACCAAAATCGGTTGGCGACCAAATTTGGAGGGGTCAGAACGGATTAACTATATTTACATTGAACCTTATGGGAAAATTTGATTCGGGTCGCAACCAATTTGGGTCGTGACCAGAGTCGCAGAACGAATTAAGTTCATGAACCGAGGTACCACTGTATATATGGTGATACTGCAAGATCACAGGGTGCAATAGAAATCCTCTCTCCCCCTGCCTCTACCTTTGGAAACCAACCATTTCAATATCTGTATTGCTGCTTTTGTTTCATCTTCTGTAGTGTATTTTGTTTAAAAAGGGCTTCCTATTGTTGATCTGTAAATTTTGTGAACTGTATTGCATTTAGATATTCTTCAATTTGTCCTGGATTTTATATTTGTTTACTGTATTATCCAGAATAATTTTTAATTGCTATCTCCACAAGTATTTTTGTTTAGCTGTACTCGTACGAACTCTAGACGTTTTCATAATCTTTTTGCCATCCTTAGTTATAAGGCCAATAAGAGAACTCCGTATCAGAAGGATATTTGAGAATGAGTATAATGGTGGCATATTATGCTAGCAAAATAATGCTTAGAATCATCCACTGCACATTAGAGCCCTACATAGGGAAATGCCAGGTATTCATGCTGGCTTTAGAAAAGGCCGAGGAACATGATATTATTGTTGATAAATGGTGGATAATTGAAAAAGCCAAAGAATATCAAAAAGAACTTAATATGTGCTTTGTTGATTATAGAAAGGCCTTTGTGTTGATCACGTCAAGCTTAGAAAAATGGGAATCCCAGAACATCTCATTGTCCTCATAAGAGACTTATATACAAGTCAGGAAGCCACAGTACGAAGAGAACATGGCGAAACAGAGTGGCTCCAAGTTGGCAAAGGAATGCAACAAGGCTCACTCCTCCCCTTATTTATTCAATCTATAAGCTGAATATATATTAAGAGGAATTGGATTGGAAGAAGATGAGCATGGTTTTAAAATTGGAAAAGAAAACAAACAAATAGATCATTAAACAAATTAACCCAGAATTCTTGTTTGAGGCACAAGTTGAACAGGCTCAAATTATCTTACTTTGGACATATTAAGTGAAGACCTAGCTGTCTGGAGAAGCCTATAATGTTGGGAATGTAGAAGGAAAGCCAGGGTGGATGCACACAATTCCAGCGGTGATGGGTGCAACATTGGAAGCCCTGAAGGAACTGACTGGGGATAGATCATCCTTGAGAAAATCTCTTTATATGGTTTCTAAGAACTGACACTGACTTGATGGCACATAATCAATCAATCAATTAATCAATCAATCATGATGGCAAGAATAATCTTCCAAGGCAGATATCAGTGGCTTGACAAATATATTGGTGAACGCTACAGGATAATCTTCAAAGTTCAGTCTAGCTTTCTAAATTAATCAGCCACTAAAACCAGGAAATTACAATAATCTGATAGTCCAGCTAGTTTAGGAAACAGTCTGACCATGAAAACAATGCAATTTCTGCCATTCTTATTCACGGATCATCCTAGTTCTGAACAGAACAACAGTGACCCCTCTCCAATAATACCTTGCAAGATCATCACATCTTATTATGCTGAAAGCAAGAACATCACCTTGCAAAATTTGGCAAGTGTCTGTGATTGGTAATTTTAAAAAATGTTTTTTACATTATTTTTCTGGAGCTTCCATCAGGGAAACTTGCAACAACTTCAGGGCCACCAATGGTCCCCAGACCTTTGGGAATCCTTGGTCTAGATGATTTATTATTTATTTAACAGATAGCTTCAGCTCTACTTTATAGTACCAATTCTACACAAAAAGTACAGTATTTCCTGCATATAGAAACCTAAACTAAAAACCTCCAAATCTCATATGGGACCATCACAACCCATCTTCAGAGAAAATTACACAGTTTTTAGATCCCAGCCTAAGCTTCTAAAGTTAAACATTGAGGAATACTCCATCTGCTTTTTATTGTTAACTTTACACAGCATTCCTGTTATTTTGTTCAGACTGTAAGTTTTAAAAAGTCAGTGCTCTGCACTGTATTATCTGTTTTAGTTGAAATGTAACATAGAAAACAAGCAAATATAAAAATTAGACATCATCTCAGATGCCATATCCATAACACTGCAAAATCAATAATCAAGTGCAATCATATTGTAGTCAAAGAAATCAGGAGGCATTTGGTTGGTTGTTCAGTTATTAATCCTGAAGATTCATCTTGCCCACCTTTGTTTCCTGTATTAGTACTTGTGGTATTACTTAGCAAAACCACACTTACTTTTGACAAAGGGTAAAGTCCTTGAATTCGAATGGTTATATGACTATAATTTAAATATTTTAAAATTCTCTAATATCTATGCACATAATTTAATGCAACATAGTTGCAAAGCCAGATATGCTTTCTATTCAAATTGAGGGACAGCTTAGCCAACTTGCATGGTTTGGTGACAACAGATGAACAGGAAATTACTTTCATAGTTAATAGTTTCCTATAATTATTCCTAATAAACTCTGTTCCAGGTGCCTCTGATTACTTTCCTCCCAGTAAGAATGGTATTGACTAAACTTTAAGTGCTAAAGAGAGAACAATCTACCAATAGTTTTACACATCCAAAACCTGCTTAGCTTTAAAATAATTTAAATCAGACAACATTGACTCTTATTATCCTGTACTGGCCTAAACTGATTCCAGTTTGGAATTGGAATTAAACATTCATATAAATTAGAACTTTTCTTCTCAGTGCCAATCACATAGTTTATTTCCACTCGAGCCATTTCAAGAGGGGATAATTTAAAACTAACTTTCAAATCAGTTTTAGTGCAGATTCATTTCATGCTCAGGGCAGGTAACTTGTGAAGCTCAGAATAAAATCACATACTATAGGCTTATATTTACTTATTTGAGAGTAAGTGCAATTCAGTGTGACTTTTTCTGAGTAAGCATGCATGGGATGATATTGCCAAGCTTACTTTTAAAGAAGCAATAACAAAATTAAATAGTATTAGTTCAATCCTTTGCATACTTCTCTTAACTTGACTGCCTTAAAGCTCACTCCTAAATAAGTGGGTACAATCCTAATTCTGTTTCTTAAAAAAAAGGGGGGGGGCTTTAAATCTAAGAAACCTAAAGATTTACAAACAAGTCCACAAAATTATACTTATTCTTTAGAAGATCTGTAAATATCAACTTAAAAGTATGATTACTCCACAAATAAACATATGTTTCCAGTGTTTCCAGTAGCATAATTGCCAGAGATGTCAAAGCAATATTTCTGCAAAGCCAGCTTAATGTTATTTTGTGTGTGGTGTGGCTGTCAGAACACACCTGTGAGTCAGGCTGGCTTTTTTCCTGTTGTTTTAAAGTTGTTTTGTCTCTTTATAGTATGATCATTTTCTTCTTTGTTCTTTATAATAAAACAGTCACACAGCTTTTTCTTTTAAATACAAAGTCATGCAGGAGGAAAAGGGAACATAGCTACACAGTCTGAAACTATATCCAACAACAATATTCTTACTTTAATACAACTCCATCCACATCAAAATTAACAAAATTAAATTATAAAAATTAAATATCAGTGCATCATTCCTAAATTAGTATGGGTTGATTGGTTGGTTTGGTATAGAAAGTTTCATTTACATTCAGCATTTCTTTACCACTTTGTTTAGAACTATCAGGTACTGACCCATGATGAAGTGAATGAAATATTGAAGACAATATTTTCTACATCTTCAAATATTTCCACCAGCGTCATAAGGAAACAGGATTGCCTCAGACATTCCATCCTATTTTCTGGAACAAGTAGATTATGCCATTTTCGAAAATTAATCCGTTCAAAATGACCATCAGACACAGTTTGCGGCTGGTATTCAAAGTAACTGCAAAAGAAAAGAAAGATAGAATATGGTACAGTTCCCAATAGGTTTCCTTAATGATAAGAAACAAATTAGCATGGACAAATGTTATTTTTCGTTAATGAGATGGTTTTGACCTGGCTGACCTTGTTTGGCCTCAGAAGCCAAGCAGGGATGGGCCTGCTTAGTACTTGGATGCAAGATTACCAAGGCAATAAACCTGACAGGGATGTTAAAAACCATCTTAGAAGGAGGTAGTGGCAAACCATTTCTGTACTGCTGCCAAGAAATCTTCATAGATGTATTCATGGAGTCACCAGGAGTCAAGCTCGACCTGAAGGAGATTTTGCTTTTGTAATGAATGAAGTCTACAGGGCTGAAAACAACATGTGATGCTAAATTAAACTAGTAATTTAATTCATAAAAGCTCTAATGAATTGGTAGAGCTCTAGCCTAGTCTAAGTCTAAGTCTAAGTAGGGGGGTTCATGTTTATTTTACCAGGCTCTCTTAGTTTAAGTTAGCCTTTCCTTCTAATTATCTATGATAGATTTTTTTTTTAAATAATTGCTCAACACAGGGAACAATTCCGTGTCCTTAGGAGGTGATAGTGGATGCAGAGGACCAGTAATGATAAAGGCCAGCAGGCAAGGTGGCACATCTGTCACTGAAGGTTGTACAATATGGCTTAGCCTGTTCTTAGAAGCCAGTTAGTGACTCAGCAACACATTAGATGAGGAAGCTGAATGCCTTGGAATCTATTACTACTATGGAATTGCTTATTAACCTTCCTTCTGTACCCGGAAAGGCATTGTATTCAGTTTTTTTCAAAGCAAAATTTGAAACATGTAATTACATGCCTTAAATGAAAAGGCAAAGGAAATCAGATCTGAATTCTGTAACTAGTTGACAAATTAAGTGTAAAACCATAAGAGTGTTGTATACGTAATAAGCCTTTCCTTGCTCAGCACAATTGCTCGTTAGTATCCTTTGTACATTAGGAAAATGAGTAATCCAGTAATATTCAATTCTGGCATTCTTTTCAAATATAGCTATTTAATATTAATAGCAATATTCAAGATCCACTTACACCCAAATCAGTATTATTGGCATATGTAAAAAAGTTATTAAATTTTGTATTAAAAACTTGACATTTGGAAAGGAATCTTTCTCCTTCTCATGCATCTGATGAAGACAAAATAGGAAAAAAATTATTCAAAATTACTGGCCCAGAAATGATATTGTTTGGGTTTCTTAAAAACTCAGACAGTATAGAGAATATAGAGCTTAAGAACTAGAAAAATAAACAAATTCCAGGACAGTAAAGGATGCTGCATACGAATAAAGTCACTCTTATTTATTTTTCCAAGACAAAATTAACAACAACTTCTTAGATACGGAAACTAGTTAAACATTTGTTATATACTTAAACCACTGTTTTAATTATGGTTTTTACTAGAATCAAAGATTATGTTTGCAGCTTTTGATGTCTTTTGCACACTATATAAATTTCAATGTATTCAGGTCTATAATAAAGAAATCAAATATCTCTCTTTCAAGAGTTTCTGTTCTCTAAATACAATTTCCTTCCCTACTGTTTTAAATCTTATTGCTGTATGTCTCTATCTGTTTCAAGCAGTGGAAACTCAGCTGGAAAATCTACCTCCTGAACAGCATTACTGAAATTGTGAAGATAAATTAGAAAAATACCTCTAATTGCTTGAAAGTTGGATGTCAAGACAAACACTTTAATGAGTTTGAGACATAAATGAGTGTAGTCATGCTCCCAAATAACTGCTGGAATCAGTAGAAGCTTTCCATAGCTGGATAACAGCAATGCTTTCAGAAGAAATATGAAATTTGCCTTGTTTTTCAGGACAACAGATCTTACTAACCACAGAGCAGCGAAGATGCCAGTCAAAAAGGCAGTTTGTTCTGAGTGGGAGATGAGTATAAGTAGAAAAAAATCATTTAGAGAAGCAGTTGAGATCATAAAAAGCTCCTTAAATAGGTATACAGCATTTCACTACATCTACTCACATGCTTTTTAATTTTGTTCTGGAAGGCATGCATTTTGATCTGGATTAGGCATAGAAACTAATCATTTAGATATTGTAGTTTCAAGCCATTTATCGCGCTAGCTATCCAACACAAAAGGCTTCTTACTACCTAGAAAGCTTCACTGACCAATTTTGGATTGATACAAGCTAGCTGAAAAGTTAGGGCTACTATATCTGGGCTGCAAAAATCTGACAACCACTAGATAGCAACAATGGTGTAATAATTTTCTATACCTCTTTCCTGCCATCTAATGGTCACCAGATTTTTGCAGCGCAAAGAAAAATAGGCTCTCTTGCTGTTATAGCAGTTATTATATTTTATATTATATTTGTTAATTTGTTTTATTACTGGTGTTTCTATCCAAAACATTTCCAAGCAGTGTACAAAAGAAATAAAGGTTAAAAACATCAAAGCAGTATCAATATATATTACTGTAGCATTAACCAGTAGAGATAGATCATATATATCTACCATGAGAGTTATATATCAGAATCCTTGATTTTTACTAATTCAAATAATTGTATTTCACACAAATATAAGAATAAGTATTTTCTGAAAAGCCATGGGATTTAGGATTGAACACGGATTTGCACTTATCTCTCCTAGGCCCTTTCTAAACAATATCTCCTGGAAAATATTTACATTCTTAAACACTACCTTTAGACATGCCTATTCATTTAAATTGATGATATGCTGCAATCTTTTGACTGTCAGTTATCTTCCAGCCAAATTCAATGAAAGCAAAAGAAATACTGGCTACATGAATATATATCAGAACACATCTAAGAATTTTAGTGCACTTGAAGCAACTATAAATGTTTAAATGCTGCTTTTTTAAAAGACTAGACACAATATTTGGCCACAGCAACTATTTGATCTTACCCAAAGATGCTATTCCAAACATTCGATAAAAATCCCATTCTTTGGCATATCTAATTAAATCATCAGGATCAGTGCTTTGACTTGAATCCTGTAACTGCAGCCACCTGAGATAAGCTTCACAAAGTAAACAGAATATGCAAAGCTTTCCATGAATCTGCAGTAGGAAAGAATATTAATGTCAGATGCAAATACATTCAAAATAATTCATCAACCACAGAACTATAAGCATGGTGGTCTTATGACTTGTTACTAGTACAAGCATGAAGGTCTGTATAGGCCATTTGATCCCCTCCATTGAAGAACAACTAACCAAGCTGTGGGACATGTTTTGATGAATTGAATGTCTTTAATTCATACATTAAAAATGAATCTGACACAGAATTCAGTTCAGATTGGAAACTAGTCCTAGACTACAACTCAATTAATGGATTGGTACCAAATCCAAAATTTGGGTTTCTCTACATATAGAGCCTATGTTTTAATTTTACAGGATACCTAAATTCTTAGTGATCTGGACTGAATTCATTATTCATTAGCCATCTCTTATCATGCTTCTCTTTTGGCACACTTCCCCCACAAGCTCCTCCCCTAGGCTTACTGTGATAGGCCTGGCCAGCGTGTGATCAGCTATGCAGAAGCCAAGGGACTACTAATCACTGGTTTGAAGATGGGCATAAATATGATGGTGTTAAGAATCATATTGTGAAGTATAAATACATGTTAGCTATCAAACACTAAACAGAAACAAGCACTAAGTTGACTTCCAACTGACTGCGCATGGTACAATAAATCTGGCAGCCTAGGCAGATAGAAAGAATGGAAAGAGCAGAAGCAACAATAAGAGATGTCAGTAGAGTGGCTGACAGTGGAGGTCAAAGAATCATTCAAGCCAGGAAAGTTCCAGTCAGAAAGTTCCAGTCAAAATAATTAGCCTACTAAACAACAACATTGAACTGCAATGCATAGATAGACCTGCAGAAAAGGTAGATTTTATGAAGGTCTCTCTACATACTATGTAGTTCTCAAGAGCCATACTATTTTAAAGTGGCTATACTTTTCCACTACAGCTCTAAAGGGTGCTAGAAGTATACTTTATTTTGACCAATCCCTTGAGCAGCACAGAACTACAAAACTGAAATCAAAACCAATACACAACCAATGAAGCCAATGAAAGTTAATACTGCCAGGTCCAGAACAAGTTAGCTCTTTCATTAGCCTGGAACAAGATCGACAGATCCTACCGTAAATCAAGACAAGGAGCAGACACAACAGGAACTTACATTTATCTTTGTATTGAACAAGATATGTCTGTAAGCTTGTGCTTTGCATAAAATAGCATTAATTAAGATGATGACAGGATCATATTCTATATATTTGTCCACTGGCTTCTGGCAGGATTTCTGAAAGTAACCAAGCAAAAGCAAAGTTTAAGAATCCAGTAATATTACAGAGTCGAAAAAATATTAAAAGTTCTTAAGAATTTTTAAAGTTCTGTTATGAATAAAGAGTTATCTAAGATGTTATTTTAAAGTTTATGTTGTAGCTTTCACAAAGTAACTTTTCTGTCACAACAGCAAAAGTAAATAATTAATAGTTTATTATTTTTTACCCAGCATTAAGTTTAGCGAGGGTAAAATTCAAGCAGGAATGGCTCCCTGATGTACAACATGTTACACATCAAGGCAAGTTAAGACACCTAGAGTATGCTTTTTGTAAATAAAGAGAAATGATTTTAAGAAATAATTCAAACAATTCAAACAGAAATAAGTAATAGTCACAGAAATTTAGGGCACACTATAAAAATACTTAAGTGACAGTGGTTGGGGGAAAAAGAATAGAAAAGGAAGGAAATTTTTTTTTAAAAAGGCAAGGCTACTTGCATGTTTTTCTTACAGGTACATTTTTTTCTGTTGCTTTTTTTAAAAAAAATGTTTTATTATTTTTAATAGCTATATTAAATCTCAGTTTTTGAATTCCAATTTCAAACCTCACTTCAGTGTTCAGCTTATGCATCAGTAGTAATAATAATAATTTTAAAAAAGATAAATAACACAGGTGTATGTATTCTATTCCTCCCCCTTTTCTCTTTGTTTTGTTTTTCTTGTTGCTTTTTATTTAATTAATGAAAATAAAAATTATATTTAAAAAATTAGCCAGGGTAGAGATTTAAATACTTCAGGCACACAACAAATGCAAACTGTACGTTGAATTGCAAGAAATAAAGGAATGCTTTAGAAGTTTCTGAAGTTACATTGCTAAGATTGAAAATATGCATTCTTGCAAAGAATTTTAACTTTAGTGCTTCATTATATACTATCAAATTATATGCATTTTAAGCCTAGACAAAGAGAAGCTTATGGTTCGTTTACAAGATAATCTATGAGGATCATAAAAACATGATCTGGTCTTTCAGCACAGGAAGTGCAGATGCATTCCAGACATACATCAGTCACAGATCATGAGGGGGTTCTATGTGCAGCAGTGGAAGAGGCAATTTTAATACTGGGGGTTATTAGGAAATGGACTGCAAATCTGATCTTGCCGCTATATGTCTATTGCACAATCACATATTGATGTACAGTTCCTGATGTTTATCTTAAAATTAATACAGAGCTGAAAAAAATAACGATTAAGAAAGGGTAAATCATCTTTGGATGGCTCAGAGCTACATTTTAATATTTGGGGGAATTTTAAGGGATGCAGAGGTTGGGGTGATTATGCAGAATGGGCATCGCTATGTTATAGACATGGACAGGAATGAGATTTCTTCCCCTCTTGGTTTGGAGGCTAGCTTGGTCTCCCCCTCCCCCCCCCCCCCCCCCCCCCCATTAAGCCTATTTTAGTTCTTAGACTAACATTAGTGTGTTTCCTACCTCAACATGGCAGGGAATTGTTTCATCCATTTTTGGCAGTCATGACTGTTTCAGGGAGCACAAAAACTGGCTTGGAGTCCACTTGTAGTGGGTTTAACCAATCCTGGGTTAAGACAGCACAGCTTTTTAAAGCGAAAGTAGTAACAGCAGTTAAAAAGAGGTTGAAAACATTTTGGATGATAGAAAAAGAGGACAAGTAGAAACAAATGATTTTTCAGTGTAGAACTCTAAATGAGAAACTGAAATTGTTGGGCTAATGTCCACAAAGGCTATCCCAGGTTGCTATCAGTGACCAGAAATTTAATTCTGGTGATCAGCAGGGAAAACAGCCAAAGCAACAATGTTATGTGATTTAATTCTTGTAAGTGGCACAGAGTCACTTGTGTGAGATGGGCAGCTATATAAATAATATAAATAAATAAACAAATAAATAAATAAAGTATAGAGTCCATGACAGAAGTGACAATTTTTACAACAGCAGCAGAAATCACTACTTTTCAAAATGGCAATTAGATTTTCTTGTGCTAAGATATATTATTAATGTCATGATCGAAGAATTGCTCATCATATACTGCTTACAATTCTTCTTGCTGATTAGTAAATACAAAAGAGAAACACTGCTTCTGTTAAGTAAGAAGTTGTCTATTTCACACTTCATGCTAACATATATTATTTATTTTGGAGTCGGTATGTTGTGTGATTCAACCTATTATGATTTTTGTAAGAACGAAGCTACTATAATTTATGAAAAAAAGCCATACATTTAAAAGTCCTGATTTAGAGTAATGTGTGAAAACAACCCATGAAAAAGCCTTAGTGGTTACTAAAAATTATTAAGTGAAATTCAGATGAAATCTGTCCACTTCTACATATTGTCAATAGGTTCAGAACACCTAGAGAAAAATTGTTCTATTAGAATTGCCAGAAGAGATCATGGTAGCCTCTAGCTCCCCTTTAATTTAATTTAATTAAACACTGTACATCCACCGATGACAGATACATATACAAGACAGGGACTTATTTCCATATGTTGCTCCACCATGTTTTAAGCATTTCAGGACTGGTGTCTTCTGTTTCTGGAATTCTATTCCAGCGCCACACATCTCTGGAGGCATTTAAGGAAGATTTTAAATATACTTGCATAATAATGCCAACTGATTGGTAGAAGTGGTTACGAGCAGATGTTGAGAATGGCAGCTGGTAAAGTTAGATGGTAGGGCTGTTTTGTTGTAAGTCTTATTAGCACAGTTGGGCAGCAGGGGTAACAAGTTTATAGCTTTAGGGTCTTATTGTTGTTTAAGTGTTACATTTACTGGAACTGGAACTATATCATGGCACATACTGATTTTATTGCTTTCATATAATTTTAACTGATATTAGTTTTTACTTGTTAATTTTGACAGTGATTGGACCATGCCCTGGTGGGTGATGCATTACAAATTATTTTTTTGTTGTTTGGTTGCCATAGATTTTAAATTACAAACTAATTTGTGAAATCTTAATCCCGTGACTATATAAAATTACCCTAAACAGTTTATTTGTATTTTATATTTCATAAAATATTTATTTGTATTTACTCAACATTTATAGATTATATAATGGAATCATCACTGTTATATGTACATTTTTGTCCCCTTCCTTTTATCTTGTTTGGAAAAACCTCCATTGTGTTTATAACAAGTATAACAACTGCCAGAAGACACCATGCTAATAAATCTTAAGACATAATGCTGAACATTATGCATAAACCTGTTCTTAAACCTGAAATCATGGCCACTGTGAAAAATCCCAAACTCATGTTTTTTTGAAAATGTATGGTTTAGGGGAGTTTCTTGTTCAGAAACCACAGTTTAACAGTATTCTGGGACAAATTCAAACTCAAGTCCACAATAAAATATAATGTATATTTACTTGAACATTTTTCTGTTTTGCTACTAACATATGCTTTGCTCAAGATCTGAAACTGTATTCAGCACTCTCCAGAATAAACACAAACAGCCACTTCTAATCTATGGAAAATATACGATCAAGGAAAAGGATGGTATCTCAGATTTGGGCTGGCACCATTATATAAAATATATTCCAACTGTTGATTATTTTTATACAAGTAAAAATTAACTGCCATGTTTGATTGCATTCTTGCTGAAGAAATTGCTTCAATAAAATAAAATAAAATGGAGATTATAACCAAGAACCTCCATTTTAGTTTTTATATAAGGAAAACCTGTTTTATTAGGTTTGAAATAATAACCTGCTACAGAAGGTTGACACTGGAAATATACGACAGTAATTAAAACATCTTATATGTGCTCTTCCCACTGCAGATTTTCTATCTAGTTCACTGCTTCCCAAACCTGGGTAAATTACCCAAAATTAGGTAAAGGTGATTTTTCTTTGGGTAACAACACACAAACCCATTACCCAATCACAACAGGGACATTTAAATTGACTTAAAGTGTTTTACCTACATTGGTTAAAAAGGACTTTCTGATAAGCGGTTTTGGGTAATGAAGGAAAAAAATTGGGAAGTACTGACCTAGCTCTTCTATCAGTTATACTAGCTGTCAGTTGCCAGTAGTGTAAAAACTACAACTTTTTTTTTTGACTTTCTGTTTAATGAGGGGTGTGTATCTTATCCAACTGATATTTCCCTTTCTCCCTGAAAACTTACCTGAAAAAGTAAAGGAGGCTGAAGGACACTGGCTGTGTGCATTACATTGTAGTGAAAGGGAGAAAATAGCAGAAGTATGAAAGAACAACCTTGTGCCAGAGAATCTCCACTACTCACTTTTGCTCAATTACAGGTATTTAATTCCCTTGAATTACAATTGTGTGTGACAGTCTATGCCAGGCCTCCCTACCTTTTTGGGCTGACTGGGCACATTAGAAATTCTAAGAACATGTCACTCTCTTTCTCCTCATAAGACCTAGTTTCCAATCCCCTAATTATCCTTTTCTTTTTTATCCTTTCTATTTTCTCTTAACAGTTTGGTGCCCAAAAATGAAAATAATACTTGAGCTAAGTCAAACCAATGCTGAATATAGTGGAATTATTGTTTCTGAGATTTGGAAACAACACTTCTATCAATGTACCCTTAAGTTACATTTGCCTTTTTAGCATGTTGACTGCTGACTCATGTTCTAATTGTAATCAATTCCAAGATAATTTTCATATATGCTATTACTACTTCACTTATGTAGTGGTGCTTAAAAGTTTGTGAACCTTTTTGAATATTCAATGTTTCTGTATAAATATGACCTCAAATGGGATTTGTTCTCCATGTACAAGTCCTAAAACTAGATAAAGAGAACTCATTTAAACAAATAAAATGTCAAAAACGTTATACTTGTTCATTTTTTATTGAGGAAAATGATCCAAAGCTTTGTATTTGTGTGTGGCAAAAGTATGTGAACCTTGGCTTTCAGTAACTGGGGTGCCCCCCTTGGGCAGCAATAACTGTAACTGTTTCCTATAACTATTGATCAGTCCTGTACATCAGCTTGGAAGAATTTTAGCCCATTCCTCCTTACAAAACAGCTACAAGGGATGCTGGCGGGCTTCCTCGCATGAACTGCCCACTTCAGGTCCTTCCACAATATTTCTTTAGGATTAAGACCAGATCTTTGATTTGGCCATTCCAAAACATTAACTTTCTTCTGCTTTAACCATTCTTTGGTTGTACCACTTGTGTGTTTTGGGTGTTGTCTTGCTGCATGAGCCACTTTCCCTTGAGCTTCAGTTCATGGACAGATATCCTGACATTTTCTTGTAGAATTTTCTGGTACAATTCAAAATTCATAGTTCCATCAATTATGGCAAGCTGTCCTGGTCCAGAGGCAGCAAAGCAGGCCCAGTCCATGATACTGCCACCCCCATGTTTCACAGATAGGATAAGGGTCTTATGCTGGAATGCACTGTTTGCCTTTCACCAAACATAACACTTTTCATTCAAGCCAAAAAGTTCTATTTTGGTCTCATCTGTCCACAGAACACTCTTCCAATAGCCTTCTGGCTTATCCACATGGTCCTTCAGAAAGTGTAGACAGGCAGCAATGTTCTTTTTGGAGAGTAATGGCTTTCTCCTTGCAACCCTGCCTTTCACACCATTGTTGTTCAGTGTTTTCCTAATGGTAGTCTCATGAAGATTGATAATGGCCAATGCAAGAGAGGCCTTCAGTTCCTTAGACGTTACCCTGTGTTTCTTTGAGACCTCCTGGAGTATTACTTGCCTTGCTCTTGGTGTGATCTTGGTTGGTCGACCACTGGGTAACAGTGGTATTGAATTGCTTCCATTTGTACATAGTCTGCCTGACAGTGGACTGGTGTAATCTAAACGCTTTGGAAATAATTTCGTAACCTTTTCCAGCCTGGTGAGCATCAACAACTGTTTTTCGA